GTGGAAAGCTTTACTTCACCAAGTGGCTAAAAACCTCCATCAAGGTATATTTTCTTAGCATTTTTTCGGACGTTTTGGGGGGGGGCCAAACCGGCCACTTTAGGCCTTTGGGGGGGGCCATGGCCCCCGTGGCCCCCCTGGATCCGCCAGTGCCCATACCGGCGTCTCCAAGGGTCCACATCCGGCGGGCACCCATCAGCGACTGAAGGTCCCACACTGTCGACTCCGAGAGCCCCATCTGCGTCTGGGAGCACCATGCCGTCTTTAAGAACCACAGCGGCTCCTCCGTACGAAAGATGGGCGTCTGCATGCCAAAGGGGAGCGGTTCTGAGACAGTAGGGCACCTACGTGCAATAGAGGGGCGCCTATGAAGCCCATAGGGGCGCCTCAATGCGAAAGAGGGGCGCCTCTGAGGCCTACATATATGGGCGTCCACATGCAATAGAGGTCTGCAGACTGCAATTGATCAATGCCATGGGGGTGCATTCATAAGAAACAGGGGCGCCGGCATGGCAAAGAGAGGCGCCTTCAAGTGTCCATAAAAGAGAGACGCCTATGATAAGCGCACATTGTATGCGACAACGGGGAGACTGTGGCACATATAGGGATGTCTCTGATGACTATACATAGGGCGCTTATATGCCAAAGAGGGCGCCTATGAAGCTAATGGGGGCACTTGGGAAACGAGGAAGACATTTGTGTAAGGGTTTTCAGGGGTCATGCGCCGTTTGCGGCAAATAGATTCTAAAAAAAAATCGGAGGGGGAATAAGTTTTAAAAATGGTGCGGACTTTCCGCACTGTTCGCTTAAGCGGTTACGCCCCTGGGTACATCTGCCCGATCTGAGAAGCTAGATTTGGATGTCATACTTGAAAGCAGCCAGCAGGACGAGGCAAAAGTTGGAGGCCCCTGAAAATAGGAGGCCCCTGGAAAAGGAGGCCCCTTGACAGGGTGGCCCACCCACTTTTCATGACGTTCCTACGCCCGTGCATAGCAGGCATTCCTCATGCAGGTCGGTTAGTTATGCTTTGCCTCTGGTTATGTACCACCGTCACACAGTTGCAGTTGTCCTCAGGTCTAACAAACCCGCGAGGAATGTGGCGGCGCACGTGTCCACGTGCCGGACTGAGAGGACATGCCACAGCGCGCTCCGAGCGGGCAGACAGACCCAGCTGAGAGGAAAGAGGCTGCGAGACGAGGAAACTCGCTCAGGCGTGGTTCGGCCGGCATGCGTGCTGAGATACCAATACGAGGGGCGTTCAAAAAGTTCTCGGCCCGACCATGAAAGAGTAGAGATACGACGTCGACTTATTAGACCAAAAATGTTCATTTAGTCAAATAACCAGCGTTAAGACAAAAACATTTCGCGCAGCGCTTCGCGAGAGGCCCCTGGGTCTCCACAGCCAAGTGGGTTTTGAACGCATCTGGCACGTCCAAGACGGCTGCTTTTGTCTCCTTGCTGTCAGCGAAGTTGCCACTGCTAAGCAATTTCCTTGTGCTGGGGAAGAGGTGACAACCTGAGGGTGCAAGGTACGGATAAAAAAGTGGCTGTGACAACAACTCGAGGCCACAGCTCACTGCTTCGCTGATCGTCACCCTGCTCATGTGTGCTGGTGCGTGGTCCTGGATCAGGCGCACACTTTTAGTCAGCTTCCCTAGTCTCTCCTTGATATATGCTGCTCGCTACTGTTATCGAAGGGAGGTGTAGTATTCATCATTAATTGTGCGCCCCTGTTTTGGAAAGTTGACGAGCAGAGCCCCGCCAGAATCCCAAAATGCAACCACTGTCACCTTGCCGTCTGACTTAGACACGTCGCACACATTTGGTGGCCTTTACTCAGTGTGCTTCCACTTGTGCAACTCGGTCACGCCCTTAGGGTCAACGTGTGACACCCACAATCCCTCCACGGTAACAAGTAGTTCAATGAACTCTTTTGGATCTTCGATATAGGGGCCAAAATTTTCGCGTTACGCCTCCTTTCGAGTTTGCCTTTCCTCTGGAGTCAGCAAACGGGGGATGCATCTTGCAGAGATCTTAAACATATTAATACGCTATCGAAGAATGGCTTTGAGGAACCTGATAGACACCTCCGCTTCTGCTGCGTTGTTCCAGACCAGAACATTTGTCATTTTTCACAAAGAAGTGCTTATTTTTCATATTTTCTTGAGTCAATGCTGTTGATGGCTGCCCAGTGTGGGGGTGACCATTAATGATCTGTTGACCAAAATTGAACAGAGATAACCACTTTTTGACGCTACTGTAAGAAAGACAAACCTCAACATGTGTTGGCACTAGCTTTTCGTGAATAACGTTTGGTGCATTTTTCTGCAACACCTGAACCAAATCACTGTTCTCTTCTGGGCGTCGCCCATTCTGACCGGGAATGGCAAACTATGTTACGATTAATTAGCAGCCTGAACCAATCAGAGGGCAGATTGGTTAATGGCTACGTAAGTGGACATCCCAATAACACATCATTGAACACACCGCGTTGCAGGCCGAAATTCCAACTCCTTCATGGTTGGGCCGGGAACTTTTTGAACGCCCCTCGTACACACCAAACACGATCAATAACCGCAGACAAAGGCAGGCGATGTGATCACCGATCGGTCTGCAGAGGCGCATAGGCGCGCTCGGCCGGCAGCAGCCGTATCGTGTCCGACACCATCCCGAAATATTTCAATATCGGCAGATCAGAACGGTCCCGCGGCCGATGGGGGCCGTTTTCCGCCGGCGGGTGTCGCGGCCGGTCACGGCGCAGACGGGGGACCGCCGCGCCGGCGGCCGAGCGGCGGTTCACACCCAGTCAGACGCGGGTGCGCAGATTAATCACGGTGTCCGTTAGCAAGGAGTCATTTTTGCTCGAGCCGCTGGGCTGGGCGAACAGGAAGTAGGCACGGTAGGTGCTTAATCACAGTGTCGTGACATCGGTCCACATATTTCATGAATGAACGGAGCGGCGGTTTTTAATTTTGAATTCTCAGAGAGTCAAAATTTTATACATTTATAAATTATCGATAAAATTATCATTGTTTTCAAAATGCATGAATGCTCCTTTGTAGTTTAACATCGATAACCACAAATAACATTAGCATTGACCAAGTGGCGAAATGGGACCGACATTGTTTCGAAAGCATTTGTTGAGAGATAGGTACTGGTCAATGTCTAGATCATACGGTGTCTAGTGTCTATTTCTAATCCTTTTCCGCAGCTTTCCATCTTTTCTAAATTTCATTAATTTCAAATGAGATCGGGAGGTCCTTTCGAGATTCTCATCGTTGCCGAAGTTGGTTGGGACCCTCGACCCCCCCCCCCCCCCCAGTTGAAGATTAAGATAAAATAAGCCAAACGAATACGATTGCACCATGCATCCATATGAGACAGCATTCAGCCATTGTGCTCCGCTCTTGACTGCTTCAGTCACCATAAAAAGTCACGCTGCGTCGAAGAAGGAGCAACGAATGACACAATGCTTGGAGTTACATACAGGGTTGGGCAGATAAATTGGGACAAATTTCAACTTCCTCTAAAACGACTATTTTTTTAGTAATAAAGATAATTTTTGAACATAAATATAGGCTAATGAATAGGTTTCCATGTTATGCAGGTTGTGTTGTAATTTTGAGTCGGCTGGTCACAGAACGTGGGCTTAAGCAAGCCACTATCAACTTAGTCCGCGCGCACATGCGTGCCAATACTCTAATTATGCTCCATCAAATGGCTGAAAGTAGTGTGTATCGAACTGACGTAAACGTTGGAGGAAGAGATGATATTGACTCATGCCTATTGCATTGACACCGGCCGCTCCCCCGGTTTTCCAGGGGGGCTAAAAGGCAAAATTCAGTTAAATCAGAGGATCCTTGCGAAAACAGTGGCACGAGCTTACAACGAAGGTAGCCGCGCCATGAGAAAGCGATATATCAGAACCTCAAACATGTACTCTTATGCATTGATGTATATCAACTCCTGTCAACATAGATGTTGAAGCAGCTGTGACGTTAAAAAGATTGTTTCCTCTTGAAGGGCTTGGAGAAGCGAGCAAGCACGTGCAGGTCTTTTTCGACGATAGTATCCCCCTATATAACCGAACATATGAACAACCGCAAACACCATGTAACATCGCAACCAGCCCAGAAGACGTGATCTTAGTTCCAAAAAGCATGCAGCAGACATCGGTGATGGCATTCCACTCGGTGACTTCTGACGGTCACGTGGGGCCCCCTTATTTTACGGAATCGGGAGGGGGTTCGCCATTACAGGGTGCCTAACCATTATTCCGGCAGTTCGAATCAACAAGATGAAAGAAGGCAACATCCTGCATGGAGTGATGCTCTTCGAGGAGTCAACTCCCCGGCATGCAGTAAATTAAATACAAAATCTCCTGAAACGGAGGATCTCGCAAACTGTACCCAAGGGAAAATGCCCCCTTCCTCATTAAACCTCAGCCCACACAAGTTCTTGTTGTTGGGGCGTTTTTGCGGGTGAGTCTAACGAACGTCCCCATGTGACTGTGGTGAGCCTCAGCAGTGCCAGTTGGCTACAATTACGAGCCATTTCAGACAGGAATTCTCGCCGCGCGTGCGGCCAGTCAAGGTACCGATAAGGACTGATGCAGGTGGACCACGGTGACCATATTTGGTGAAAATGTGTAAAATTGGTGTGACAATATGTGATCCAAATTTGAAATGCCTACGTTTACATATTTCTATGCTACGGCGTTCTAAATGCAAATATGTATTTTGTTCCAATTTATCTGCCCAACCCTGTATATGGCAGTGGAGCATACGAATTACGAATTGAGTTTATTGTTTTAGAGGCAAATAAAACCTAAAAAATATTTATCTGTGACTATTCGTAAAGCACCCATTCAGTAAAAGGCAGTTGGGCCGCTGTCAAGCGTCCGGTGTCCAATGTAAAATGGGACATATGGGACATTCGCATATGCAGATAAGAATAAGTTACCGGCAGTCCGCATCCTTTTTACTCGATTAAACAAAATCTCAGTGAACGTTTTATTGGAAAGCAATGAACAAATGCCATTAACTTCAGAAACGAAAATTATCTGACAAAACAATGATTATTCTGAGCTAACAAACAACAAACGAAGCAACATGAAAGCGAAGGGAGTGGACAAACTACGAACAAAACACAACTTCCCATTATCCAGACGGCTTCATACTCGTCACTTCCGGGTTCACGTGACATGATTAGACTAGCACTGAGATCACTACACTTTTCATACTAATATTACAATCACAGCCCACAAGAAGGAGTTATGGCACATACACACAGAAAAATATTAACACCGTTAGCGGTGTAATTGCACAGTACATATCTGAGCACTTGAGGAAAATTAATTTAGTCCCTTCCCCGCTTACATTACTCGCGCTTCTAAATGAACACCAGGAAGAAGGTAATAGAACACTGTTAGGAGGGTTGGGTGTTTTGCTACATGTAGTAAAACACCCAACCCTCCTAACAGTGTTCTATTACCTTCTTCCTGGTGTTCATTTAGAAGCGCGAGTAATTTAAGCGGGGAAGGGACTAAATTAACTTTCCTCAAGTGCTCAGATATGTACTGTGCAATTACACCGCTAACGGTGTCAATATTTTTCTGTGTGTACGAGTAGGCCATAATCAATACTAACTTCCAACGCAAGAAACAACGAATGTCAGACAAGTACATGAAACAAGGTACACGTAAAACAAAGTAAGACTTCATTCAAATAACAATGACTAGCTTCCGATTTGATGCGATAACTGTAATCTGGAGCTAACTTCATGATCTTTACCGGTCTATTCGGTTCAGAGACATTGCTGGACTCTCGTCGCATTCAGGCTCCGCATGAGCAGCGCATTGCGAGTACCGACTTAGGTGCCCTAATTAATTCACTCGATCCTTACTGGCCTTATTTCAACTGGCCTAGTGCAGTTAAGTCCGGCTTCCGTGACCTCAACAAATCGCACATCAGAGCATTGTAAGCGCAAACATTCTCCCCTGTCATTTCAGAACAGCCTTCCTTTCTACGCTAAGGAACCGTCGTTCTTCCAACGACGGTTCAGCAAAGGCGTTCCCCCTCTGCCAGTTGAATAAAGCCGTTCTACTCTGCGTCCATTCACTACAAGCAGCCGTTCTAGCGCATATTCACAGCCAGCCAGTCGTGCTGACGGCGGTGGTTCACAGCCAGCAGCGCTGACTGCGCTGATCTTCGCCAGCCAGTTGTTCTAGCTGCACCGGCTCACAGCCAATGGCACTAGCTGCGCCGGCTCACAGCTCGTCGCGCTAACTGCGGCAGCTCACAGCGGCTGTGAGCCAATCGCGCTCTCTGCGCCTGTTCACAGCCAGTGGCACTCTCTGCGCTCTGGCGGCGGCCCGGCGCTGGGCACGCGGCACGGCCGGCTCACGCTGCGTCGGATCGTCTCGGGGGAGAATCCGGCCGGCAGTGCCGCCGCTAGAGGTGTCCGCTGCGGGGTGCGGCTGTAGGTCCGGACGGCCGGCTGACGCGGCCACGGCAGCGCCTCTGTAACGCGCCGACACGCGGTCAGAGCGACCGACTGCGGCACCGATTTGCAATTACCACACCAGTCTGTGCAGCAAAAACATGATGAATATATCTAACTTGACTTCACTTTGAGCTCCCAGCTCCAAAGCGCTGCTGCAGCGCTGGCCTCTGATATCATAGGCAGAATTTTTGCGTGTTATGTGAACGAGCGGTGACCGACTAGTCTGGATTGCGGTGGAGCCACGCCCGTTTTCTCCCTGGAGCCGACCCCCTCAGAGCAATGCGCCGGCCATTCCTATTCCTGGGAATCCGGGGCGCCTTCCGGACTCAGTGGTCTAGCGTGCACGGTGAACAATGAACATACGTCGCATGCCTCCGGGAAGGGTCGCACGCCAGCGCGCGCACAACAACATAACTTTTATTCGGGTTAACCCGCGCCCGGCTGGGGGTCCTGGATTTCCACGCCCTGCTGGGGGGGGGGGGGGTGTTTGAACACCCCCCCCTTCTAACTCGGCTCCTGGGCCACGTAGCGATATGCGGAAGGCGGCGTTCGAAAGAGCGTAAAAAATAATGAGGAAATCACTTCGGTCAATTTTTTGGTCAGGTCAAAGGTCAGGTCACCAGAGGTCATTGAAGGCCAAATTTCGCCGATTTCCAGGTCGAATGTCGACAATTTCCAAGAAGCCAACGCATAACTCGGGAACCAATAGAGCTACAGCGCCGCGGAAAAGCGCATTCGATAGCCCTATTAACGCCCTTTCTGAGTAATTTTCTCAGATTTGACCTAACGTCAACGGTTTTGCCTGCAGGGGGCAAAAACTGCAAAAATAGCCGATTTTTTCGGAAACAGTTTTTCTGCAATAACTTTTGACCCAAGCCTTGTACGAGCTTACTTTTACCGGCATCGTGTTCCTCTCGTCAAGACGCATCGAATGAACTATAACTTGACCTTGAAAGGTCAACTTGAAAATTTGACCTCAGGTCAAGGTCATGACCTGACCGGAAAGGGTCATGTTGCATATCAGTCGATCCGTATCGTCGAGCTGAACACATCTAAGGCGTTTTCATCGCTCTAGCATGCCTCTATCAAAAGTTATTTGCGGAAAACTGTTAGATACCATTCGTGACCTAAGATGACCTCAGGGCATAAACAGGGGTCACGGACACCATTTTCATGTTCAGTGTGTCTAAACCACTTGTAATTCAGTGTTTGGGAGTGTTTATAATGTCTTTCGTCCAAAAGAGGCGCATTTCAATTTTCTCCCATTGACTTATAATGGGGAGGTCGCAAAATTGACCTGACCTTAGGTCATCGATATCAAAATTCTGAGATATACATTTTGTACATGCTATTGCTCTTAGCAATCGCTGAAAGTTTTAAAGCGATCGGTCACTCGGTGTAGCTATGACAGACATTGAAACTTTTTATGAGGTGAGGTCACTTCAAGTGACCTGGTGACCTGACCTTGAATGACCTTGGTCTGAAATTTTTACAACATGTGTAGAATTGATGTATGATAAGGTGTACCAAAAACGGCGGCGCTCCGCGCCGCCGTTTTTGAGATATTCGCGAAAAAACCACAAGGGGGGGTGTTCAAACACCCCCCCCCAGCAGGGCGCGGGTTAATGCTGCAACATACGGCTCCCAGTCTATGAGATAATTGACTCATGCTTATCCCAGGATGCACGGGTCATATTGAAAGTGCATTCCCATGAACGGATTACACGAATGCATTGCTCATTGCTTTCTCAGCTAGGCGTGTTAGGGATTTTGTTAAACCATCAAAGCATCTAAAGCGTCTTTGTCAAACATCTACCGAGGTATGAGCAGACTAGCACATACCAAAAGAACACCATTAGTACTTCCCATAGTTTGCACCACAAAGGACCATGAAAATTCATTATTGAGGTCACGCCGATTTTAGCATTACCCTGAAATACGATTAGGCAGTTTGGCTAGTAAACAATGCAGGAAAATTTTGAAGCGTGCGGAGGAGATCAAAGTACCCACTCACCGTCCGTTTCCCATGTGAAGTTGTAGAGGCTCGAGTCGGCCTCGCCGGCAGCTCTGTGCCGACCCGTCAGTTGAGACAGGGAAGTCACCTCACTCTCTGGTGAGTACACAGTCTTCCGACGAGCCGCTGCCCGCTCGGGTCTTTGGGAGGCCACCGGAGGCGGCGGGGGCGGGGGCGGGGGCGGCGGCGGCGGGGGCGGAGGGTCGCGCTGCCTGCGGCCCGCCGAGCCCGGCCGGCGCCTGCCGTGATTCGGCGTTGAGCGGACGGTGCGGGCTGGGTACCGGGGTAGCGCCGCCACCGCCGCCTGCCACACGCACACACACGCACACAACCAGAAATACGAGCACGGTCAGATCGTGTGACGTCGGAAATCACATGGACTTCTCCAGCTACCATTGATTGGTTTGACCTGATTCAACGTGATACTTTCTCAGCTTTCAGGAATAGGATATGGGGGGTCATGCTTTATATGTTTAACGTTACGTGTTTGATACGCTTCTACGCTACGTGTATGTACGTACAATGTAGTCTACAAGAATTGGCGAGAGTGTAATGCAGGAAAAATCGGCACAGTCAGAATTCAGAAGTCTGAACACCGGAACCAGGAGGCCCGCACCAGCCCGTCTCCCCGAAAGGACTAACCTGTTTGGGCGGCACGGGGGCGGCTCGCGCTGTCTGTCGCGGGGTAGCACCCACTGGAGGTGGCGGAGGAAGATCCCCCGCTCGAGGCTGCTTGGAAGGAGGGGACGCACCGCCAGCGGCGCAGTTCTGAAAGAGGCGGCACGATCGTCTGAGGTGAAATGACGGGGGGGGGGGGGGCGAGAAGAGGGGGGCATATCGGCCGCCACCAGCTGTAGCGCCACCAGTGCAAGTCAAAAAGTCGCCGGCACGGGCCTCCATTATCGCATTTATGCCTCGAAGATTCACAGCAGGAAAATCCTCACGAGCCACACCGAAACGAATTACATACATATGATTCATCAGCGACAAGCACACGATCGGCGCTCATTCGTAGCATTTTTAATATGATCTTTACGCACACCTCAAATGTTTAATAGCCTGAGCCGGAGTAGGGGCAACTTAACTGACCTGTCTGCGCTGTGCCTGTGCCGCCGGCGTGGCGCACGGCTGAGGTCGCACTGTCCCCACAGGCGAGGTCAGACAGTTGGCCCGGGCAGCCAGGGGCGGCACACAGGGAGCCGCCAGCGCCGGCGGCCGGATCGCCTGTCCGTACACACACACGCAGGCTCGGGTCACCCGAATGGGGATCAGCCGGGACAAAGGCGGATCACAGTGGCTCAGCAGTGAAGTAGACAGGCAGAGAAACATCTGGGGAGTCTCGGATAAAAAGTGTCCGATGGACAGCCTAGCAGATATCTATTTCATAGCTTAACTATTGTGTAAAATTACCCGAATTGAGCGTAAACTAGCTCAAAATAAACGTTTATAAATAAAGCATACAAAATAAAACGGATTGACGGTTAAGGGTGTTTCTTTCTATCTAGAAAGTTTCATGCCTTATGGGATATAATCCTTTCATTTCAGGTCGGCTGGGCGATTCGCAACACATTGCCAATTGCTATCAAATACCGGGAAGTGGGTGTCACCGTTCACCGTAAAACTCCCACGGTTAATAATAACCAACGCCTTATCAGCGCCACCGCTACTGTATCATGGGATCGCTAAACTCCATCGGCACCCACTATTCACTGATAGCGACGACAAGGGACGCGGAAATCGGCCCTGGTGGAACTCCAGACGGCACGACACAGACGAGTTCCCACCCAGCCGCCATGGGAAGGCGCACAAGCCACAAACTCTCATATCCTATTGCAGCGTGAAAAATGAATAGTATGTACGAGATATTTCCGGTAGATTAGATACGCCAAGGGCTATGGGCACGACGGTGTCCTGTAGTAGGTAGTGACGCCCGACACATGAAATCACGACCGTGCCCGCACACTGGCCACGATATGCGTTGAAAATGCCAACAAATAACGTGGGAGCTATAAAATATGCTGAGCGCCGTTCAAAATGTATCATGACCAGTTAGCGTCCCCCCCCCGCGCCGGCGACCGAGTGTTATTACTATACACACATTTTTGAACAATAACTCACTTTTCCCTATCGCGTGAGAAAAGCTGAATCACCTGCCTATGGAATGGAATAACATACAATTTCCGGCGAGCCCTATCTCAATAATCCCATGGATGCAACCCCCCCCCCCGTAAAAATACGTGGACGCATCGGTTACTCGGTAGCTTTAATAAAAACACGTCATTTTAATGTTCTCCTATGCCATCCAATCATCTAGGTTTACAGTTATCCTCCTCTACAATTATTCCCAAAACAAATAAAAATCATGCAGTGCCTACAGGCCTCAGCAAACAGCTGCGATTGGATGAAAGGTCAGTGGGGACGGGTATATCTTTTCGCAAGTCACAAGCAAACAATTATGGCGAAGAGAGTTAGGCGGCACATCGGGTGAATGAGGTCACAGAATACGACACAGTGCGTTTGCGGGTGCCCGTTGCGCCGACTGGCGTTCTGACTGACCTGCTGGTCGAGCTGACGCTGATGGCTGCTGAGCTGCTCCGTCAGCCGGTCAGCGAGCCGGCGCACCTCGCTGACCGCGGCGCTGACCTGAGCGGCCGCCGAGCTCAGCTGAAGCGCCGCCTCCCGGTCAGCCGGGTCAGCGGCCGCCGGCGCCGCCACCGACCTGTCGCGCCGGCCGGGCCGGGTCACCACAGCAGGGGTGCCCGAGTGCCGCGGGGGGGGGGGGGGGGAGAGCAGTCTGACAGCCCTGCGACTGGCGGCTTTTATAGCATTTACTGATGGCTGTTATAGCGTGGACTGTGGAGACGATGAAGTGGAGCGGTATCCGGTATGGTATCGGATATCTGAGCCTCCCGCCAGTATTCGTTCGAGCCGCAGCGTCGCATTAAGTCAGGTCGTTTCGGGTATCAAGTTTACCGAACCAGTCGCATTGTCTGTCTGTCTGTCTGTCTGTCTGTCTGTCTGTCTGTCTGTCTGTCTGTACATATATCTGTCTACATGTCTGACTGTTGGCTTATCTGTCGTCTGTCGCTCCGTTCTCACCTCTCGATGTCGTCCAGTAATTGACCCCGCAGCTGGTGGATGCTCTGGGCGCTGTGTCTGTCTGTCTGTCTGTCTGTCTGTTCGCCCCGTCCGTCGCTCTGTTCTCACCTCTCGATGTCATTCAGGTGACCCCGCAGCTGGTGGATACCCTCGGCCGTGTCTCCGGCGCGGTGGTTGGCCGCCGATACGGCCTCGCGCAGTCCGTTCAGTGCTAACAGCACCTCCTGACCCGACTGGAGCACAAACCGCCACAGTCATATACGGTGAAATCGCCGCCTTTTTGTCATTACAATCGAGAATCCTGGGATGGAGGGGGCACTCCTGGTCACCTGACAATGGCAGCATAAAAAAAATCACAATACGAATATGATGAATGCGTAATCGGGAGCCAGAAATTGTGATATTACTTTTGGTGATCTCCAGCGACCTCAGCGATGACCTGATCGAAAAATGACCACTGTAGCGCGCAATTGTTTTGCTCGTGCCTGTTAGGAGCGTAGGTATCTGCCTACGGTCTAATGATAGTGGCCTCTTCTATATTGGAGCAGACACCAATCCATGCTTCTATCCTCAGGATACTGAAATCCTTCTCCTCCGCGCCACAACCCCCTTCCGGGCTGGACAGGCAACTTTATCTCATGCGGGCTGCTCCCTTGGAGCGGCACCGCTGCTCCCGAGGGAGCTGCACCCCGTAGCCGGGTGCAGAGAGTGCTTGGGGGGCTGGTCGGCCTGTCCATTTGGACGGGCTCAGCCCCGGCGACTCTCTAGGGTGCCTGCCCAGACCAATGTCTCCCCCTAATTCCTATCATCTTTCCGGCTCTGCAATGGTCTTGTCGACCGAAAGGGCCTAACCCAATAAAACAAACAATTGGAGCAGAAGGTCCCTAGAATGTTATTGCGTGCTTCGAGAAACATTCAGGGGAAAACCGATGACAGAAAAAACGAACTGTGCTATATCAAAATATCGTCCTCGACCCGGCTCAGCATTTCTACAAACATCCCGAGGATAACAGCGACTGGGATAGGCGTTTGAGTTTGTCGCAAGGGGCGTGACTGTATCCCGATCTGAGCAACATATGGTGCAAGTATGTCCTCAGTCACAAAGCCACTTTCTCAGACGTCGTGTGCGACTTAAGTGGCTGAGAATGTGGCTGCATGATACCATACTTAACGAACTTTGAGTACATTTTCCCCATCACCGATTCATGACTGGCCACAAGGGTTTACAGTCGACGCATGCGCGATCGGCCGGATATCCCGCTATCAGAGATGAGGAACACGGCTAATTGAACGTTTCCATTGTGAAACGACGATAAATGTCTGGAGGAAGCCTAGCGCGACTGTTGCAGTACTTGCAACGGGACCTACGAGACCTTCAGAATGCTACCACTTGCACTGCTGGAAATACATCTCTCTGAGAGCCGGAGTTCGCAAACCACTCGTTTCGGTAGACGCCATTATTGCCGTTGTCATCTGTAGCAAGGCTACATCTTGGGACGTCGTAACATTTTCCAGATCGGGACCCAGCCGCCCGCCATACTCCCCTCCCCATACTCAGTAGCAGCAGTCATCATACCGTGGCGCACTGGTCACAAGCCTTCCATCCCAACACCTCATCCCCACCAGTGTCAGCGCCGGCGGGACAGAGAGCCGGTCGGCCGCCGCCGCCGTAGCGTCAGCAAATTCTCGTCTAGAACGGACTACCGTCCTCAGTAACCCCGCAGGATGAGCGACAGAGGCACCTCACAGCCCCGAATGAGCTGCTGTGGCGTAATGACCACAGTCCGCTGTCATCGCCACATGCCTGCCCTCACTGCGACTCATCCACAACTGAGTCAGCAACGGCCGGCCGCCGTCGCCGCAGAGTCAGCAGTCCCATCCGAGTCGGGTGACTCTCTCCAACGACCCAGGGGCGGAGCCGCGAGGGTACGTCATCAACCCCTCCCCGAAGAGCCCCAAATGGTCACCAGGGGACAGCACAGGACCGAAGTCGCAAAATCCATCAGCATTGGAAGAGGACGCTGAAAACACGCAAGTAAAAGGTTACATCAAACACTGGACGTCAAATCGTAGCTAATATACAAGAGAACTTCAAGAAACCAGTAAAATTTCAAGACATAAATTGCATCCCAGACGGTACCCTGGGAGCGGACCAATCAGAGAAGAGTTGGCAATGACGCATCAGAGCGGCGGAGGAGCGCTCGCCGCCGGAGGCGGACGGACAGATCCCTGGGGGACTCCGGCCGAGTGACACACGCCCGATCCCACCATGTAAGTTCCCTGAGATTATCCTGGCGGCTGGGTGGGGTAAATTAAAACTGGGTTTAAGAAATTTATATTATGAATTAACAACGTAACGAATACAGTTAAATTTCAATACCGTACAGGCTAGACGCAGGTTACCCGAGCTTATTTAGGAATATTGTGTGTGGATTTTACCTCATTGATTATTATTCGGAAAATGCGTTGTGGAAAATGCGAGTGCGAAGTAGGAATAGGGCAGGTAGTTCGAGGCGAGGTGTTATTGATGCGATGGGTAGGAATTCCTCGGGAAATGTAAGGGAGTCGAGAGTAGGTTGAGGCGGGAAGTTACCGTTTTCTTTTTTTTTTTGTTATCGTACGGGCAATTGTTTTTTTTTTTTCGAGGCTAGACGGCTTGTGTGCCCGGCTTCTATGTCGATATTTCTACCAACATGGCTTTTGTACAGTTGAGTGCGTACAGCGAGAGGTCTGTATTGTCAGGGCGGTGTCAACAATGTCTGCACGTCTTATTTCGACCGAGAGTAGGGGCCGTAGCGTAGTGTCGTGAGGTAGTGACGTCGGTAGGTTTGTCAGTAGGTGGAAAGGTGGATTGAGTTGGAGTTGCAGGGTAAGCAAACGAAGTATTGAGAGGTATGTAGGTAGTTCGGATAATTTTGGTGGTCAAGGTAGTTGAGCCCCTGTAAAAGATAGTGAGGCCTGATAAGTCCTAGTCGGTGGGATAGGCATCGATAAGTCCTCGGAGTCGACGGGCTCCCCCGTAAAAGTTAGGCCGAGATGTAGTGACGTCGAGTGACGTGGTGTCGGTGCAGCGTGTGCTGCGGTGTTAATGGTAACTCGGCAGGCCGACGGGCCCTAAATTGAGGCAGGCCCGGGATGGGACAGCATGGTAGCCTCCGGTGAGTTTTTACTTAGCTTCTTTGTTATATGGCGGATAGCAGACAGAAGACGACACTTAAGACCCTGTTAGCGAGAATGTATGCAGTTTAATGGACATTTATCCAGCCTGGGGGTCAATCTTTCATTTGGTCACCGGCACTACTGGAGGGAGATTTTCGGGGGCAACGCAAACCAAAATAGGAGTGTGTAAGACGTGAAAGGGGTATAATGAATGGAGATGGACGAATCTTAGGTTAAGGACCAGTAGGAGTTGCGTTGAACTCAGTCGGAACGATCAGATAAAATGACACTCGAGGGCATAAGGAATTCAAGCATTACTATATCATTCAACCTCGCAAAGCCAATTCAATGTACCAGAATGACCAGCCTCAAATAACATAAAGCATCGACTATCACCCGATGCAATATTGTCTGCAAGGGAGGACTTTCATCATATTCTATCTTTTCTCTATCTTTGTTCTTCCTCTATTATTTCTTCTCATTTTCCTCTTTGACCGTCTATCGAGGGAGTACTGACGAAAGGTGGCGGTTTTCTTCATTTCTAACTATAATTCCACACTTCAACTTCACTTTTCCACTTTTCCCACTTTTCTATCAGCCTCCCGCGCTACACATCCATGACCGGTAAAGGATCCGTATAACGTCTGTCTGGCAGTCTCCTGGTCAGTAACAGCATTTCTTATAGCGGCACAGTGGGAGAAGCCAGTGCCTGACTTCAGGTAAAAAGGACATACCCGATCTTTGCGAAACATAGAGCTTTTTAGATCAGTAGGGTTAAAATACCAGCAACCGTTAATGATTTGAAACTGAAGTTTTGCAAGAGGCGTTTACCTACAGGACCAAATAAATTTCTGACATTCTTTCCCCCGAACGTTTAGAAATCCAGCGGCCTTTTTCCTGGCTACGAGGAAAATTGCTAAAAAATGTCCCTGTGCATTGACAGCGGTAGAGCCTTGTAGCGGGTGGCTGCGGCACTGACCTGTCGACAGCCGTCCTGCACGGCCCGCCTCAGCGCCGCGTCCAGGCCGTCGAGCCGCTCCTCGACGCGGCGCACCCGCTCGCCGGCCTGTCGGTGCGCGCGCTCGGCCTCCGCCTGGACGGCGCGCTCCACACCGGCCAGCAGGCGCGGCAGCAGCGCGTGCCACAGCTCGGGCAGCGCCTGCACGTGCGCGGCCACCACGGTGACCGCCTCGCGCACGTCTCGCTCCAGCTGGCGGCGCTGCTGGCGCTCGTGGTCGATGCGCTGCTCGAGCGCGGCGCTCTTGGTGCGCAGTGCGCCGCCGGCCGGGCCCGGCGCCGACTCCTGACTCAGTCCCGACACAGCCGAGTCCTGGCTGGGCTCGGCGGTGCCCGAGGCGCGCGCCGCCGCCCCGCTCGGCGGGTCCGTCAGCCACCGGCTCATCGGGTGGGGTGACACCTGGGGGGACACGGTGACAGCAGATATTGTCAGAGTCCCAAATATAAAGGATTTTTTTAATGGAAACTGATACGACGAGACGTGGTCTGACATAGCTGAATAGAATATTTGCGGAACTCCTTCGCCTCTAAGTGATGCTGAAATTGAAAAATTAGCCTTGACTATATGAGAATTTGCAACATGCACGCCGAGTGAGCTGGCGTTTTTCCGACGATAGGCTAGTGCCGAGCCGGCTGTGCACCTCCATCCGTTACCTGCGACGGTGGCGCCTGTGAGAAGTAGGTGCTCTGGGTGTCCTGGGAGGGCGGCGGCGGGTCACCGTGCTGTACCCGCTGCAGCAGCATGGCCAGCGGCGGCTCCGGCGGCGGCGGCTGGCCGTACAGAGGCGCGCCGCCCAGCCGCCCGGCCGCCATCGGCCTCTCCATCGCCGCTGCCGGCCGCGCCAACACGCTGCCAGGCAGTGCAACACGCGACGACTCCTGTGCGCTCTGCAACGACACACATAAATGGTACCCAATCGGCGCGCAAACTTATGCAATCATGCATGCTCTGTGTACGCTTGTGTGTACGTGCATGCATTCTACAATGTACAACCCTCGACTCACTGCGTGGAAGCCATAAGGCAATTAAAGACCTGAGAATTGCAAAATGCTATCAATGTTATCATTTTCAAGGAGGCCATACTACACTGGAACAACGGTTAAATTGCTGTCCGGAGGGAAGAAACGGTCAAAATTGAGGCGTAGCGCCGTAGGTATAATTTGTTCAAAATGCTTTTCTAATTTCTTAATAACTTTTGACAAAAACTTGTATGATATTGATTTTACCAGCATCGTATTCCGAAACGCGATGCACGCGCCGATGCACTTTTCCCGAGGTCAAGGTGTAGCTTTATTTGCTCCTGAGTGAGTCCTAAGCTTATTTGTCAAAGCGCTGGAATAGGTGAAATTTGACCATTCACGACGTTTTGTGTCTGTCGGCCTGACCTTTGAATTTTAACCGTGCCTAAAAAGTGACCAAATCGAATTTATGCATGATTTCTTTCTCTCTCGAATGTCTCCACGTACCGCTACGTGGCCCAGTAGATACCTAAATTTGAGTTAGGCGGGGCCCGGGGGTGTTTTGGTCATGCACCCTCGTCTGTCCCTCGGACCATCGGCCAGGCGAAGGTGGCGACGGCGTGTAGCCAGGCCAGAGTATATAATATATTGAGGGTATGTAAATTGATATATTGAGTATGTAGCCAGGCGCCACGGCTTTCTCCTCGCAGTGGCAGTCACGCTCAGTGTGGCAGCGACCAAAAGAGGCAGCGACCAGGCAGCGACAACCACGGGCCACGGACCGTAGGTACCGTAGGACCGTTAGGTACCGTAGGTACAGGCTGTACTCCAGCCTGGTCACTAAGTAATCTTGTGGTCACTGGTGTCTAGCCAAAATGCATGCTTTACCCATACGGTATTTATCGCCCTGCTATAGGTACCTAAGTATTGTTGTGTAAGTTGCCAGACTGGTCGAAGAGTTAAATAATAAATGTGCTCCATCAAATTTATCAATGGGGCATGGATTTCATTTCTACATACAGGTCCTATATGCTACTGATTTTGATTTACTGGTCGATAAAATATAATAGACGAAACACTCCCATACTGATAGGTACCTTTCTCCACGGCTCCGCCGAGTATGATATCCACAATCAATAGCAAAATCGTACGCAATTTTTTCCAAATTTTTTGACAATTTGTAAAATGTGACAATTCAATAAAAGCACGAACCAACGAACAGCTCAGAACAGCTAAACGTTTACATTTTGTCAATCACTTCGCAATTTTGCACAAATTTTGCACAAGTTTTCAAGCTGTCTTCTGCTTGAGTTCCCGGATTATAATAGCTATTTTTCATTTTGTGTTATTTTTATACACTGTGAGAAAACCAAAGTTATTTTGTTGTAAATGATACTTAAAAACAAAATATTTGCAAGGTAGAAAATTTAAAAAAGTAACAAAAAGTTATAAAATTCCATTATATTGGATCAAGTAATCCAAGTTCTAGAAATTGCGTCTGTTTCGTCGATAAGGAATTTGTTGCGTCATTTGCAAGGACAGCTGATGGCAGGCCGCGTTGGCTTCATACTTGCGTAATCGTTTTGCGTCTTTTTCCCTTATTTCGTTGGTGCATACATTCTAACTGGAAAATAAATTATTGAGCAAATATTTTAATCGATATAAATGTGTCCTCTTTGATAAAAAGAATTTAAAATATACGGACAAAATTTTCGGTTCTGTGACCGATTTTTCTTTCTGTTTTCTTTAAAACTATAGTAAAAACTAAACCTTGAATATCTTGGCAAATGACATGTGTGCTATACACGTAAATTCAAAACAACACAATACGGTCGCCACTGTCGCGATTTTATATTATATTGAACAATTTAGCGGAGAAGTCTAACATATCTCACTAGACTCCATAATAAGGTAAGGACCATAAATCAGCAATTCACAGGTCGTGCACTGTGTTTGTCAGCGATGCTGTTGTTGAAGTCTTCATGTCAATTTAGCGTAAAAAGTGCTGTGAGTATTCAGCTCTTGTGTCACTTTTCCAGGCTAAAAATAGTGTTTTCTTACCTTTCACGTTTTTAATTTGCAAATCCCTTCAGTCCTTAGAGTGTGCTGAAGGCTTGTGCTACTAGCAGGTCTTAGTAGGTAACCCAGGCTGCAAACCAGAATTCAGTTGGGCAAACTAGGCGGTGGGAATCAAAATATGGAGGCATCAAAATATTGATTCTCTTTGACCATATATGGGCATACGTGCAGACCATCACAGAAACGTCAACTCTTCAGCAACCGGCTATAATTTCAAGATAGTTTCTTCACAAAATGAAGAACAACGTTGAAGCTACCCGCCAGGCACGAAACAATAGCCCTAACCTCTTTGGTTAGTTTAGGAAAGCGTCTTGAAAATAATCAAGATATTGATTCATCACGGCGGCTAATCCCGGCGAGAATCAATATTTTGATTCCGCAAACAGCTGGCTAATCATTATTTTGATTCTGAAATCAGCTGGTTTATCAATATATTGATTCTGCAAACTGACTTTCTGCAGGCGTACTTAACTCTTCAAATTGATTTATGGAATGTTTCTTGTGTGCAAATAATGCAAATTCAATAAATTCATGAAGATATTATCAGCACAGGATCGTGTTATTTTTTTCTAGACCTTATTCCCACGGTAGACCAGGGATTTTCAGCACTCACCCTGGCTCCCTGCTCACAGCTGCAAGCCTTCGAGGGAATGCGTGAAGGGAGCCGTGCTGACCTTTGTATAGGGGTTGTACTGAGTCGGAGCCGGAACCGAAGCCCGACCATTTTACTCGGAGCCGGAGCCGGAGCTGGAGCCGATTTTTTTCCTCCGGAGCCGAAGCCGTCTGACATTTTCACGGCTCCACATCCCTGCTTTGTAGTATTGATTTTGAGTAAAAAAAAGTTACCATATCGTCTTTCACGTGTTCATGAATGTGTTTCTACGCATCTGTATCCCGACCCATTTCTGTGGAGTACAGTGAGAGATATTTCGCCGAACGATACACTCAGCCCGTTGCACAAATTGCACAATTTGAATGAAAATATGATACACGGATGTATTTGCAGTCGCAAATGATACGATGATATTCATAACACATTTCACAACGATCCCTGCAATTGCCACACATTTGCCATCACAAAGCCCTGTCGTTGATGCTCACATCCCATGCAAAGCAATACTCACTTTTAGGACACGTCTCTAATTCAATATGGCTACGTATTTGCAAAACATGCAGTTAATAATATTTGAAACTGAGACCTAACCAATAAGACATACCGTGGACAGGTAAGAAAAAACAAATAAACGTCTGGAGAATGACCTCAACGTCTCGATGTTGCCTAATTACTGAGAGCAATTTTCGGTTTCGAACCAAATAATGAAATAAATATAAACAAAATTTGTACAGATACACTCAATATAGGGTTTATGATTAGCACGGCTACCTAAAACATCAATCCCGTCAGGTTGAGCCACTTATGTCCACACCCAAAGCAGGTCGCTTTGGAACACCACAAGATCCCATATTACCACCAAAAACGGTCACCAATTGGTCTACTGATCAGCATCTTCAGAACATTCTCGACCGAAAAGCTATCAGTCCTGTCTGTGTTTTGGTTCGCTTCATTTGGGCTATGCGCAGTGCGCACGTTTTTCTACTCCGGTTCTAGGGACGAGATAGCAGTCATCACGCGCTGCACCAGCTCGTTCTTTGACAGGTTGGTGACGCTGTCGTCATCCGGCAGGATAAACACGTGGCGCATTTCACCCTCGGCCCCGCCAGCCACACACACACTTCCTTACGTCATATTGTTTCTCGCCATGAGATCAAAGTTCAAAAGGTCGTGATGTAGGTAGTCTCCGCCCAGCCCGAGTCAGGTACTCCACCGGTTGGTCGGGTGCGGCCAGGTCCGCGCAACGCCGCCCTACTTCGGTCGACGCTCTGGTTGACAGGGATGGCGTTGTCATACAGTTGCCTGTCGACTGAACAGCGATTCAAGACGCCATCCTTGACCCTCTGAAGCCGATCCCCGCAACGACCAGTGTTTGATCCTTGGTTGACCTGCAGCAAACAGTCAACAGAACACAATAATTAGGACATTTGTGGACAATAAATTAGGAAACTATATGTGTTATTATTCTACTTGTTCAGCAACTATTAATTTTAGAATATATTCAATAAAAAATTAAATACTTAATGTCACTTAAATTTCCACTGAACGCCACCAGTTGCACCAACAACTGTCATCTCATGCAGTTATATAAATTCTGCCAAAAAAGTAGATCTGAGGCCAGGGCCCAGTTTCACCAAGTGGGGTAATTTCGGCATGGGGTAGATTTCCATTCTACCCCATGGGATAGAATCCAGTTTCACCAGCTCAAACTACCCCCATGGGGTAGTTTCGGCATCTCTTGTGAATGTTTGCTAAGCAAGCAGCATCAGCAAAACAACGGAACGTTTTGATTGGTCGAGAATTTCATTTCACGACGGCGTGAAATGAAGAACACATTCGATTTGGCTTCTTGTATTTGTCTACCAATCACCTTGGTAACGATGGCACCATGGCACCTCAGTTTCCAAGATTCACAACTTTATTGAGAAAGGAATGCAATGCACAACCGCGAATCTTGATGGATAGGTTACATTATCGAATATCTATTTATCTAGTTTTAATATCGATTAGTATCGAATATTTTAATATTAATTAGTGTTTTAGTAAATTAGATGCTTAGATTAGATGTTTAGATTAGATATTTAAGATTAGATTAGATGTTAAATTAGATTAGATGTTTAGTGTTTTATAATTAGAATGTTTTAGTAAATTAGTGCATGTTTTAGTATCGAATACACCTTGCTTGGTATTTTTGACGACTTTTAACTACGAATCTTTTGCACCAGATGCTTTTTATTTCTAGTGTGCATTACAAAATACATACATTACAGATGCACGGCACATAACGCAACTTAAAGGGACTATCCCACCTTCTAAAATGTTGTTAAAACCAGTTAAATTGTGCCCGACTTTATAGATTGGATGACCAGGAACACGGTTCTGGCATTTATTTTTCATTAAACATCTTAGGCTTCCCATATTCCAAACACAAACTTTTAAATATGTGACGTCACAGCCCAAAATTACCTCCTTCCCCAGGCCACATTACTGTCATAAAGCTGATTCTTTTTACTCTGTAGGCACCACAACAAAGTTCAGACCAAGTTTTAAGCGATTTTTCAACGAAAAAACCCATTTAAATCAGAATGACTAAACGAGGTGACGTCACACTAACGGTCGCTCCATGTTGAAGATAGGGCCTTGCACAAGGCCCATTTTCAAATGAAGGGAACGAATTTCTTCAACACCAAGAGGCCGCGGGGGTTGCAACCTAGATAGATAGTGGTTTCTGAACCTCGCCGCAAACTTGGCTATCTCAACTCAAACCCCATGTTAAAGGTGGGATAGTCCCTTTAATTGAGATATGCACAACAGCGACAAAAAAAAAATAGATATGGAAAGTATCGAATCCACTTGGCCTGGTATTGTTAACAACTGCTTCTTACGAATTTCGTGCACCATATGCTTTTTATTTCTAATGAGAATTACCTAGGTATGCACGACACATCCTCTTGCTGATTTAGGTACGGCATTTTATATTGATTTCAGTTGTTAGCGTCTTGACATTTGCTGGATATTTGCACATTGACCGTAATACATAGATGCCTCAAATCAAGGCTCAAATGATAATTTGAATAGATCACACAAGTACTTGGATCATTTCAACAAGACGCAGCATGTAACCACCGTGAAAAATGTGCATTTTTATTGTTTATATTTCAAGGCTTCCTCATCCGGTATTCAAGGTCACTGTTGAAGAAAACCTTTAATAGTTAAAAAAGTAAAATTCCTGGCATTCAGCTATGGGCGACATCTATGTATAATGCTTCTTTTGGTGTTGTAGATCACAAGCATGGTGGCGCAGGCTACATGCAGTAAAATACTTGGATGAAATTTGAAGTAGGTATGCTATGAATAATGCGTACTCAAACGTGACAGGTGATTGGACTTCAATAAATTATGTTCTTATTACTATTTTACTGTCAATTCTTGCTCACAATCGGTATCATATTCACAGATTACCCCACGAATGTCTGCCGTAATTTTGGTCGGATATTTGGGGTAGAACCGACGATAATCAGCTGATTGATTGGCTTGTTCAGTTGCTCACGGACCGTGAGCATCTGTTTGCATGGCAAATTTGGGGTAAAATAAGAACTACTCC